AAGCTAGTCTTCAGATCCCAGTTCAGGAAATACTGGTATATTTCAGGGTCTGGATTCAGACTCCCTAGGTTGAAATCTCAGCCCTACCCATAATAAGCTTTGTAAAGAAGGCTAGGTCACTTGACTTTTCTAAACCTAAGTGTTCTTTAACTATTAAATAAGGATAATTCCATCTGCCCTTTTAAGATTTTTTGTGAGAAGTAAATAAATAATAAGGATGTCCACATTTTCTCTATTGCCAATGCACTGAAATATGCCTGCCTGCAGCTCTGTCCTTAGCTAAATAAGATCTAGGAACACATTCCACAGTTTGTTACCTCAAAGCCTAAGACCAAATAGGAGGTTTAAAGCCCCTTTCTCCCTGAGGAATTCCATTATAAAAACATCACAAAACCTACTTAATGTTTTACATCATCAAAACCCTGACTAAATTAAAATCTTGAGTTAAGAAGAAATAAAGATTTATTGCATTTTGCAAATTGTGCTGCCTTTCTCTTGAGCACACAGTAGGTTGATCTGCAGGAAGTAGGCAGGGGTTAAAGTAAATAAGGACATAGGTGGGTGCCATCCTGGGATATAGGAGCAGATATAACACTTTCACTAGGTGTACTCCAGACTTTGGAGGTATATAGTCCTGTCTTATAAATAGAAACGTACAAGTTAGGAAGACTGAACTATAAAAGATGTCTTGGAATAGTCACTGATCTTAAAGTTATTAAACTAAATAGGAAGAAGAATGAGTAGGAAAAAATCCACATAACTCTATAGATATCATTTGAAAATGGATGAGTGCGGAATGCAAAGCAAACGTAGGAAAATATAAATGGCTTTAGTGTAAAGGACAAGAACCATATGATACTCTCAATAGATGCAGAAAAAGCATTTGACAAAATACAGCATCCTTTTTTGATAAAAATTCTCTGCCATGTAGGGATAGAGGGAACATACCTCAATATCATAAAAGCCATACACGAAAAATCCACAGCAAATATCATCCTCAATAGGGAATAACTGAGAGCTTTTCCCCTAAGGTCATGAATATGACAGGGATGTGCACTCTCACCACTGTTGTTTAAAATAGTACCAGAAGTCCTGGCCTCAGCAATCAGACAACAAAAAGAAATTAAAGCCATCCAAACCAGCAAGGAAGAAGTCACACTTCACTCTCTGCAGATGACATGACACTCTATGTAAAAAACCTGAAAGTCTCCACTAATAAATTGCTAGAACTGCTGCATGAATTCAGCAAAGTTGCAGGATATAAAATCAATGCATAGAAGTCAGTTGCATTTCTATACACTAACAATGAGACAGGAGAGAAAGATATCAGGGAATCAATCCCATTTACAATTGCACGAAAAACCATAAGATACCTAGGAATAAACCTAACCAAAGAGATAAAAGATCTATACTCTGAAAACTATAGGATTATGAAAGAAATTGAAGACACAAAGAGATTGAAAAGCATTCCATGCTCATGGATTGGAAGAACAAATATTGTTAAGATGACCATACTACCCAAAGCAATCTATACATTCAATGCAATCCCTATCAAAATACCATCAACATTTTTCACAGAGCTGGAACAAACAATCCCAAAATTTGTTTGGAACCAGAATAGACCCCATATAGCAAAAGTGACGTTGAAAAAGAAAACCAAAGCTAGAGGCATCATTCCATTCTTTAAGGTGTATTACAAAGCTGTAATCATCAAGACAGTATGGTACTGGCACCAAAAGAGACACATAGATCAATGGAACAGAATAGAGAACCCAGAAATGGACCCTCAACTCTAGGGTCAACTCATCTTCAGCAAAGCAGGAAATAATATCCAATTGAAAAAAGTTTCTTCAACAAATGGTGTTGGGAAGATTGGACAGTCACATGCAGAAGAATGAAAGTGGACCATTTCCTTACACCATACACAAAAATAGTTTCAAAAAGGATGAAAGACCTAAATGTGAGACAGGAATCCATCAAAATCCTAGAGAACACAGGCAGCAACCTCCATGACCTCAGCAGCACAACTTCTTGCTAGACACGTCTCCAAAGGCAAGAGAAACAAAAGCAAAAATGAACTATTAGGACTCCATCAAGATAAAAAGCTGCACAGCAAAGGAAATAGTCAACAAAACTGAAAGGCAACCTATGGAGAATGGGAGAAGATATATCCAAATGTCTTATCAGATAAGGGCTAGTATCCAAAATCTATAATGAACTTAGCAAACTCAACACCCAAAAAAACAAAAAATCCAGTCAAGAAATGGGCAGAAAACATTAACAGACATTTCTCCAAAGAAGACATACAAATGGCCAACAGACGCATGAAAAAGTGCTCACCATCGCTAGGCATCAGGGAAATCCAAATCAAAACCTCAATGAGATACCACCTCACACCAGTCAGAATGATTACAATTAACAAGCCAGGAAATGACAGATGTTGGCAAGGATGTGGAGAAACGGAAACCCTCTTGCACTGTTGATGGGAATGCAAACTGGTACAGCCACTCTAGAAAAGAGTATGGAGGTTCCTCAAAATGTTAAAATTAGAGCTACCCTATGACCCAGCAATTGCCCTACTAGGTATTTATCCATAGGATACAAGCATAATGATTCAAAGGGCCACATGCACCCCAGTATTTATAGCAGCAATGTCCACAATAGCCAAAATATGGAAAGAGCCCAGATGTCCATCAACAGATGAATGGATAAAGAAGATATGGTACACACACACACACACACACACACACACACACACACACAATGGAATATTACTCAGCCATCAAAAAGAATGAAATCTTGCCTTTTGCCACGACATGGATGGAACTAGAGGGTATTATGCTATACGAAATAAGTCAGTCAGAGAAAGACAAATACCATATGATTTCACTCATGTGGAATGTAGGAAATAAAACAGATGAACATAGAGGAAGTGAAGGAAAATAAGATAAGATGAAAACAGAGAAGGAGGCTAATCATGAGACTCCTAATTATAGGAAACAAACTAAGTGTTGCTAGAAGGGAGGTACATGGCGGGGGGTTGGAGTAACTGGGCGATGGACATTAAGGAGGGTACTTGAAGTAATGAGCACTGGGTGTTGTATGCAACTTATGAATCACCAAATTCTACCTCTGAAATTAATATTACAGGTTATGTTAATTAAATTGAATTTAAATAAGAACTTTTAAAAAAGAAAAAAAGAAAATGCTTAAAAAATGATAGGTATTGGATAGAAATGATTTAACAAAAGCTTCTAACTGGACCATCCAGTTTTAAATTAGAAGAAAAAAATGCTGTTATATTTAATAAATATATACTACTGTGGTTGAGATCAAAGAATAATATAAGTGATTTGAGTAAATTATATTAATAGATGACTCTTGTCCCATGTGCATTTAAAGAATAAGTAGAGAGTTAACTAGAGAAATTGACCATCACCATTTATTAATTCCCTATCCCAGAAGATGACACAAGGCAACAGACAGCAGACTTACTTTTGATTGGGAAGGCTGACTTTCAATAACCACATGAAGAGGGAGAACCATGGTGACTGATAAAGGACCAAGCCGTCTTCATCAGAAGAGGGATGAAGTGCATTTTGAGAGTAGGATCCTCAGGGTATTCATGCACAAGTCTTCATTGACCTAATGCATGACTGATCAGTGTTGTAGTTTGCTCTGCTAGTCCCCGATATAGTACTACGAGACTTCCTGAGAAATGCCACTAACTCAAGGCTGACATTCAGCTGTTAGAATGGGTAGACATGAATCCATACCAGCTGGCAATTTAGCTACAGCCCTGAGCCCTTGCTGTCCCCTTGCTAAGGTCCTGAGTTGTCCTAGATGGGTGAGAAGAGGGTCTCCTGTGAGACTCACCAGCCAGCAACTGCAGTTCCTGAGTCTGTCTACCCTGGCAAAAAAATGGGCCCAAACTCGGGGCGGGGGGCCGGGGGAGGTTGTACTCCTGTTGATGACAAATAGCAACCATATGTGAAATGGCTGGTGCCTATCTGGTCCCCTGGGAATGTGACTAACTCCATTGGCTGGTGCTTCCCTCCACTATGACCACCTGTGGAAACATGACATCTGCAGTGTATAAATAGTATCTGCACTATCTCGGCCATTCTGCCTTCACTAACTCCACAATGCCTTGCTGCTCTGACTCCACTGGGCATGGGAGGAGTGGCTGAGAACCTTTCCTACACTGATTCCAGGGAATGAGAAACAGGCTAAAGTTACAGAAATCATCCGAGTTAAACGCCCCCAGTTTCAGCCATCGGTCAATTAAATTAACTTTTGTGTTTGAAATAACAGCAAAATATGGGAACATTTTACCAGATTCCATACAATTTGCAAGCCTAAATAATTTGGGGTGATAGTAATTATTGATTAATAACTTCATCCTGGCCTGATTATTGTGAACAGGAAGAAGAAAGAAATTAAGTGTAGAAGGCACCCAGGCCTCTACCACACAAACTCTAATAACTTCAACATCAATTTTGTACAACTACAAGGCTTGTTACCTTGTTTAGTGGCCCAAGTTTAATTTAAGAATCAACTGTCACAGCTTGTTCAACTCTCAGGAATGAGAGGCAATTTACTCAAGAGCCCTGTTATCCAAGAACATTTCAGTGCACACACCATGAGCAGAGCAGGAGTGCTGTATTATTTTAAAAGTTATATATTTTCTTTATGTAAAATTTTGTTGATCTATGTTTTCATCATTAACTCTCATTAGTCAAAACAGAATCAGCTCCTAATTCAGTTCTAAAGTCTTCATGGGAACTCATTTTTGTTGTGCTTTAGAAATAAATGCCAAATATTTCTAAATAACAGTATCCTAAAGGAAGAGGCTCCTTTGTTCCTTGTATTAAGAAAATGACAGAGGGCAATAAGAAAAGTATCGTTTCACCCAAGAACTGCTAACTAAACAAACAGTAAATCCAAGATACAACTTTAAAAGTGGAAAATGATTAAAAAAAAAAAAAGAGGCACTATACCTGCTGTAAATCCAGTGTAATTGTCACATAATGGTATTCAATTCCATTCTTAATACTGGGACTCTGCCACCAAGTGTTCTTTCCATCAATAGCATTTGTAATCGGGTGTCTCTCTGTTGAATCAGCAGCAATATGTGAAAGGATAAAAAAAAAAAATCATATAATGAATTTATAGCTGTTTCTTTAAAGAAAAAAGTAAAACTAAGTTGAAAGCATCATCATGTGAATATCAAACATTAATATAAAGAGAGAGCAACTCATATCTTCAACAGAATTAATTTAATGCCAACTTTTTCACAGTACTCTATAAGGTAGCATGAAATGCCTCAATAGTTAGGCTGTCAGAGAAGAAGCTGCTCAACACTGGTCATCCAATCAAATAGGCGACTTTAAAGATTACTACAGAACTTAAGTGTGAAGAAATAATATTGAGATCTAATGGATGTGTCAGTCAATCAAAGAAGCAAAAACTCTACTGTTTGAGGCAGCTCTAGTATGCCATTCACTTTGTGAACAAAAACATGAAATCCTGAATTGTGGTTGAAAGGTACTTGAAGATTTACCCTTCTGACACATTCATTATTACCAAGACTTGGGCAGTCCAGTATGTATCTGGGTTTAATATAAAATGCTGTCAAATCCATCCTATGAGACTTTTTGCAGTCAGGCCTTAACTGGCCCACTTCCAACCACTATTTAAAAAATATAATGAAAGATGGGGCGCCTGGGTGGCTCAGTCGGTTGAGCGTCCAACTCTTGGTTTTGGCTCAGGTCCTGATCTCAGGGCTGTGAGTTCAAGCCCCACATAGGGCTCCATGTTCAGCCAGCAGCCTGCTTGAGATCCTCTCTCTCCCTCTCCTTTGGCCCCTCCCCCTGCTCACGTTTGTGTATGCACTCTCATAAAGAAGTATATCTTTAAAATTTATATGTATAATGAAAGATACTCCAAATCTCCCATCAAGCATTTGCCCATCTCCATCAGCACTAACTCAACGGAGGAGTCTGGACAGTAATAGTAAGCAGGGAGAGAATAGCCCACGGAACTCTGTCCTACCAACAAAACATGGATCTTCCCTCACCTTTACTCCAGGTAGATGAGAACAGAACCCAGTGTGCGAATTAAAAGGAAGACTGGAGATAGACGACAGGAGGGCGGACAATCACCCCACCCTACCCTACCCCAGCAGTCTTTTCTTGCCATCCCTTTCCTTCTTGCGCTCCTCACACTTTGCATTTCCTCCAGCTTAGCACTGTGCCCCTCACAACAGCAGCCATTACCCCTAAGGTACCAAAGCCCTCATTCTGGTTTGGTTCTTAGTCATGGGTTCTTGTCTGAAATCTGTTCTCCTTTGCCAAGTAATACAAACTCCTTTTTTTTGTTTTGTTTTTGTTTGTTTGTTTGTTTTTTCTTCTCTTCTAAACAGGCCCAACCTCATTCACAGGTGAGGATGGCAGGAGAGGAGGTGGATGGAGATGTCCCTATTTCTATTCCAAGGGCTGCACTAAGGTACTTAACTTCCTAAATTCTCACTTGAAAGTCAACATATTTAACCGTTGAAATGTAAACAAACCAGAGGCTAGCTTTCCTGCTACTCTTCTGTACATTATGGATTGCATATGACTTGGGGTGTCAGTCTTGAGAACTTTTTAACACTACTTTTCTGGGGAGATGTTTAAATAAATGGTCTAAAGAGTAACCTTTTAGAGTAGAACAGGATCTTTTTTTGTAAATGGAAGGAATACTTCAAATAATGAACAAACCATATCACTATAAGGAGCAGTCATGGACTCTCCATTTGCCTACACGAGGTAGTAATGTAGACATGTACTCTAATGATAATGGTGATGAAAAAAGCATGAGATCTGGAATATGAAGAGCTGGAGTAGGAGGAGCTAGATATTCCACCTGGCTCCACTATTTGGTATTTAACCATGGCAACTCACTTAAATTGTGTGTGCAATTCTTGAAATAGGGATAACAAAACTCCACTCCACAGCAGGGATTCCCAGATTATTTTTCAGAAAAAAAGTAAATAAAAAAAAATGTATGTGAGAGAGATTTGTGGAACTGATAGGAGTTCTGGCTCTTCATTGATGCAAGTCAAAGTAACCTCCAGTCTACTTTACTGTCATTTAATATACCATCACTATTATTTCATCAAATAATGAACAACTGAAACCAACACAAGTTTTAAAGAACCATAATTTTAAAATGAAGAACAGTTCTTTAAAATGTGTTCATTTTGTTGTCATTAAAAATTTAGAATTTCTCATCTTCTCATTTTTCCATGGACCAGTGAACATACCTTGGATGAGAACTCTAAACTAAGATGGTTACCAGAGGAACATTACAGCTATTAATATTCTAACCATTATGCATATACATAAAATAAATTATACATCTGTTCAAAATGTACACTGTTATGAATCTTAATTAGAGCTGAATTGCATTTAATAAAAAATTTGAATAGAACAAAACCAAGCAAAATGAAGTTTTCAATGCAATAGGAATTTCATAATAAAGTGAAATCATCTTCAAAAGAAAAATTTTTATTCAAACTGAATATTCTTTGACTATATTAGTTTTATTACAGTAGCCTGCTATGACTTGTTTAATTAGAAACATAGAGGCTTATGTTCTCCAGTTACTTATGGGAATATGAGAGCATAGGACAGGACAAAAATATTCTATTTTTATTGATAAATTACTTAGTTCAGCTAAACAACTGGATGGATTTTGTTTTGTATCAAGTCTTATCACATTTGCAGTCCACTGAGATGAGGCATCCTACCTCATTACTGAAAAGTAAAACTGCTGAATGTATTTAATAACTAGCACTTGTTCTGCTGAAGCTAGGAAAGGTGTCAGGTCTTTATAATGATAGCAAATACCATAAGCAAAACCAAATATCAAATAAATGCCCTTGTGGTATCAGTGGGTGCTGAAATTGGCACATTAGGAGTCAGAACCATAAGTGAAATATTTCTGGCATTGCTTCTGAAGAAAAATAAATATCACAGCAAACATTCCCCAAATATCCTCCGGAACCTTCTTTACAGACTGTGGGTTTAATATGCGACCAAAAAACACACACAAAACTCCATGTACAAATCAAATTTGTGGCTCTTAGGTAATTCTGAGAGAAGCTATCTGATTGGAAATTTTGATATCTGCCACCTCAGGTCAAATTGATAAGAGAATTAGTCACGAAAATGAGGACTGGGAGATGAATCAACAATTAACCAAATCCCCATTATGAAAGTTTAATCATAATTAATTTGCAAATACTGATTAATTGTTGGCATACTTCCCTTATTTAGAATGAGATAGAAACTTATAACATCCTCAACAGGGATAGCTACACAAGTCAATCCAAGGGCTAACTGCATCAGAAAACTGGTGAGGGAATCATTGACGAGGTAAATCTTTCTAACTGCTAGTTTTTAATTGGGAAGCACAATCTATTAACAGGAAGTTCAAGTTTCCTTTTCTTTGTATGGTAATTGAGTACCTACGTGCCAGATTTATTCTAACTGTCAATGGGTTTGTAAAACTTTATCATCTGTTGCTCCAACTTTTCCTAAAATGTATTCATGTAGTTTATCGCTAGGTGTTTATTCTTATAAGGTATTGTTCTTTCTAAATTTCTAGTTCTAAAACAGGACTTTGAAATGTAATGAAGTTGGTAGCTTAAAATTAATCACACAAAGTTAATCCAGACTATGATAAGTTTAAAGAACACTTCAGGTAAATAAAAATGAGGAAATACAAAAAATATCTCCTTTGCCTAGTGCTTAATTACTAAAACATTCTGTTCACTTTTGTCCCAATATAAAGCTAAATTTGCCTAAATATGGATGCTGCCACTGAGACACAAGAGACTGAAGGGGGAAGTGACAGGATCTCTCCTGGACTCAATTTGGCAAATGCATCTCATCCATTTTTTCCAACCAAGAGTCTCCATTCAATTATTTTCTACCCCAATCTTTGCATCTTCCTTCTATTCTGTCTCTGTGACTGTATAGTTTCTTGCTTTTCTCCTTTCCTGGGAATACCTTTCCCTCTAATATCAGGCAATTAGGCTTTTTAATGCCCAACTAAGTCTGACCACCTTCTTGGAAACTTCTCGATACTTCAGTTCCCACTGTTTTCCTTCTCAGAAATTCTATATCACTTATAATATGCACCACTAGGTATATAAGCCCTGAGTTTATAGTTTCAAATATTTGTTTAATTGCTTTCTATATTCAAACCTTATCTATCTTAACATTGTATTTATAGGCAGGAACTATAAATATGTGTATTTATATTTATATACATACACACACACACACATATATACATGTATACACACACACACACAATTGTACACACTTTAACTCTCCCTCTCTGCCCAGCCCAACCTAAACACACATTCACACACTCCCAACCACCTGCCCATCACTCCCTACTCCATCCCAACCATTTCCATGCCTCCGGGCTTTCTCACATTCCTCATGAAATCATCAAGGCTACCAGTCTAAACCAATGGCAGTTTCTCCCCATCAGGCTTCGTTTTCCTCCCTAATGAACCTAAAGCTCATAGTCCGTCAATTCATTTATCTTCTGGCCTTTACTTCCATTTTCTTGCCACCTTATCCTTCCATTCCACTTTTTCTCTGTAAAATTCCATGAGGCTCAGTACAAACATTTGATTCTTCCATTTTATCCCATATGGAATTCTTACTTTATTCTCATTATGGCTCAGCAATTCTCCTATTCCGTGAAAGCAGTTAATCAAAATTTTACTTCTTTCCTTAACAGAAGACCCAGACACATATCTTAATGAGAAAATCAAGAACATTAAATAATTCCCTCCCAAATACTTCCTTCTATCTGCCTCTACTCATCCTCCCTCATTCTGATTTGATCAAAGATATGTGTCTCCTAATTCAAGGTTTTCCATCTCTGTTTAGTGACTCATCCATTTTTACCTCTAGAGAACTACCACCCCCACCTTTATCTTCAACTTTATCCTCAACTTTCCTGGCCTCTCCTTTCACTGAAATTTGCTCAAATGCCTCCTGACTCTGAAAACCTTCAATACACCACATGTTCCTCTGTCGAAGTCCTCCATTCCCTTTCACATCAAAGATATTTGAGGGAATATTCCTACACTCCTTTCTTTCCTCTCTACCACTCATTTATCAACTCTGTGGTGTAACTTTTGCCACCATCAATCCACTGACTGCTTTAACAAGGTTACCAATGGATCCCATACTGTCAAAATCAAGGAAAATCTATTTTACACTTTGCTTACTCAATTTCTTGGAAGCAGTTAACATTGTGGATTACTGATTCTTCCTGAAAATTCTTTCCTTTCTCACACGCATGGTACCTGAATCTTCTGATTTCCTTCCTTGGATTCTGTTTCTCTTTATTGCCTTTCTAGATTCCACTTAACCTACCTCCCTCAGCTTTTGATATTTCCATAGGGCTTTGACCTAGGTCCTTTGCCTTTATTGTTCTATACAAAAATAAGCAAACGGGTAAGATGTGTTCCATCACTCCCCACTCCTATGCCCATACCATAATAATCTACATCATAGAAATAACCAGAGCCGTTAAAAGGCAAGGAAGGTTTCTGATGGTCGCCATCTTCTTCTTAGCTATTTTTTTTAACATTCTGTGATACACAAGACCACCAATTTTAGTCACAAAAGTCCCAATTCCCCAAAGAAAACAATGTTTTCAGCATCCCTAAATTATACAATAGAGAGGTGACTATGCATTCTTCCTTTTAACCAGTTCCAATAAAGAATGCACAATGCCTTCCAACTTTCGAGACAAAAAAATGTAGACTGTGAGAGAAAACTTCCGTCATTTTATAAGCTTTGCAACTTAAAAAGAGAAGGAAACTAAGCAAATTTTAAAATAATATAATTGTGAAGTTTTATCCCTATTATAACTCACCTCACTGACATTATTTACATTATTAACCTCCCCAATATATATTTAATAATTTCCCAATGTGTATCTCTAAATCAACCTCCATCTCTAGAATTCTTGCACACCACCCTCCCCTTCTCCATATAAATTCTTTACCTGTTAAACCAAATTACTCATAATTAACTGAATGTATCATGCTGTTCCATACCTCCAAGACTTGCATATGCTTTTTCTTTTATAATACTTTTCATCTTACTCTTATTTTTGCAGCACATGGGTCACTTTCCCCCAGGAATAGTTAAATAACCTCTCTCATGTTCCCTTAACACTCTATTTACTTTTCTGCTCCTAGTTTCCCTTTAAGTCTCTTAAGTTAAGGGCTACTTATGATTTACCATTATGCTTCAATACAATGCATTGCTAATAACAGGTGTTCAAATGCTTGCCGAATAAATACATAAATGAATCTGAGATGTCAGTGTAGTTCATAGAAGCCAGCAAGGGCACTTTGTATGACACTTGTCCTTAAAACACTCCTCTTGTGGTATTTAAGAACCTCCATAATCTGGTTCCAGGCTCTGCACAAGATTTATCTCTATGTTCTGCCTTTTGATGCTTTTAGTTCTAGCCCTTCCTAACTACTTGTAGTTCCCTGAGCAAGTAAGTTTTTCTGTCTTATTCTGAACTCTCTTCTTGGCATTTCTTCTTCTCTTCCCACTCTCTCTTTTACCTGCTCAGCTAATACTTGTCCTTGGATCTCAGCTTAGATAGCCCTTCTTTTGGCAAGCCTTCCTTTGCACCAGGACTGAATTTGTGACCCTCCTGTCTCTCCTTCAGGCCCCTCTTACTGATTCTTTACTTTGGACTTTTTGCCCATTTCTTCATTAGTTGAAGCGAGGGACCACACCTTATTCCTGTTGAAGTTGAACCTTCACCAGAGTACCTGGCACATAAGTGACCAATGAATGGCGAAAGCCTACATTAATAACCGCATCCTCAGATACTATTCTGGAGGTAGTAAACCTAATGACTGACACAGGTCTTCAGCTAGAAAACCTTCCTCAAGTAATGTACCTAGTACATATAAAGAACTCCAGTGATGTTTGTCAGATGGTAGAGAAGGGGTATAAAGAAGCTCCCTTTCCTAAGTTCCAAGTTCTAGGAATTTGGGAGACCACAAACCCTTTGACTTTAATACAACTTCACCTCAAAATCTCTCAATTACAGATCCTAGCCAGTGCCAGGCAAATACATATTAAAATACATACGGTATGGGACACCTGGGTGGCTCAGATGGTTAAGCGTCTGCCTTAGGCTTGGGTCATGATCCCGGTGTTCTGGGATTGAGTCCCGCATCGGGCTCCCTGCTCCTTGGGAGCCTGCTTCTCCCTCTGCTTCTCTCTCTCTCTCTCTCTCCCTCTCTCTCTCCTTCTCTCATGAATAAATAAATAAAATCTAAAAAAAAAAAAATACATACGGTATGGATTGCTGCTATTTTGATTGCAGATTCGACATTGGGGGTTCCTCACAGGCTGCCCAGGGACATGCTCTACCAATTTGCAATACATTTCAGGTCCTTTTTCTCCACATGTTGCATTTGTGGTGATGAGAGCATTAGAAGCAAGATTCAGGACAGCAGGGAATAAACCTGAAAAAGAAGGACAAATGAAGATCTGTGGGCCAGAAACAACAGGGTATGATTTTGCTGCATTTTAAGGTGAAATTAGGATATTTTTCAGAGCATTAAATTAATTGAAAATTAAATAATCAGTGATAATTGAATATTTGACTTAAGTACTCTATATAAATAGCATGTGTTCTCAAATGAACATTTCTTTTTGGGTCTTAAATATAAAATCTAAACCTATCTTCTTAATTTTTAACCTCTAATAATTAGGAAGAAAGTCCCATCTCTAACACACACTTTAAAAAAAACTTCTCTTCATGTTATTGGCAAAAGATCCATCTTCCATCTTCCATTTCAGCTATTTTATATCTAGCAGTAAACTATAATCATATGTAAAGTTTTTGCACAAGTTTGCATTTATGTTTTTTGTGGTTATTATTATGCTCCAATTATTATTTAGAATTAAGTGGTTGTTGTAATTCCTTTATATCCAAACTGGAGAAAATAACAAATGATAAAAAGATTTTGGAAAACAATTCTTTACTGCCTTCTGTGCTATAAGGCCATATTATATAGCAATATATTATCAGAAACAATAAGTATAGTAGTCCATGATCCTACCAGCAATTATTTCTTAGATACAATAGAAGTTTAAGCTTGCTCAGATAAAATCACAGAGACCCATGTTAGTGTAGAGTTGAGAAGGCCCTTCATTCCAAATGAACTCAGGTCTTGACTTTCTACAACTTAATGTCAATTTTGCTTCATGTATACATGTCTAGTATTTGTATTTTATGGATCTATTTTCAATGACAATATAGTAAAGCCATTTATCAGAAGCCACGCTAACTAAAAAACTTGTCTTGGAGAAAGTACATTTGAGATTACAGATAATTTGACTCAATTTGTATAAGGAACATGCTAACCATTTAGGTGGTCTCTGCTCTATACACATGCCAAGTAGGTCTACATTAACTCAACCTCTGATAGAAAGTTCTCTGTTAACTAAATCTTATGTCCCAGTGTTTTACTGAGATCCCTAGAGTTTTGAGTTCATTAGTGTTTTCTTCCCTATCTTCAAACCTTAGCACATGCTAGGTACAGAGTAAGTACCCAATATATTTGTAAAATGAACGGATTATAAATACTGGCCACATAAATGTTCTTTGCATTATCTGCATCTTCATCCTCCTCCCCCTCATCAGCGTTATTGAATATTTATAATGTTCCAGGAACTCTTCTGTCAGGCACTGTTCCTGCACTCTTTCTTCTTGGACTAATTTGCTACAAATGATACCCTTAGGAGCTACATGCTATTATTACCCTTATTTTATTGAGATGTTCAGTAACTTGCCTATGATTGCAGCTAGCAAATAGCAGAACTGTGATTTGAGCCCAAGAAATCTCGCTCCAGAGTCTATCCTCTTAATCACTATACTGCATGTTCTCTACTATATCATATGAAACTACATAAATCTATTGCTAACTTGTGGTCCTGGTTGATCTTAGAACTGCATTGAAAGAAATAGCAGTACAGCAAATAAAAAAGATTTTTAAATAATTTTGATCTCTTTTGTAATCACGCTCAACAATTTCAAAGAGGTAAGCGAATTCATAAGACCAGGCAAGACCACAATTATTGTCTAAGTCACTCTCAGCGTCTCCCAAAAAGCTGACTCCAAACAATCTCTCTCTACCCTCCCTCGCCACACTTTTACCAGTCTCTAAAATCCCTCTGGTTCTGCTGCTCCAATCTAGCCATGCCCCCACCCTCCCAGCCCTCCTGCCTTGTGCTTTTCTCCAGCTAATAGTTACTTGGGGTTTCCAATTTTTCCTTGTTTGCCAGATGTTCAGAACTTACTTTTTTTTGAGGAATTTTTTTTATTAAGTTCAATTAGCCAACATATAGTACATCATTAGTTTCAGATGTAGAGTTCATTTATTCATCGTTGCATATAATACCCAGTGCTCATCAGATCATGTGCCCTCCTTAATGCCCATCACCCAGTTACCCCATTCCCCCACCCCCCTCCCTTCTGCAACCCTCCATTTGTTTCCTGGAGTCCAGAGTCTCTCATGGTTTGTCTCCCTCTCTGATTTCTTCCCATCCAGTTTTCTCTCCCTTCCCCTATGGTCCTCTGCCTTATTTCTTATATCCCACATATTAGTGAAACCAGATGATAATTGTCTTTCTCTGCTTGACTTATTTCACTTAGCATAATCCCCTCCAGTTCCATACATGTCAGTGCAAATGGTAGGTATTCATCCTTTCTGATGGCTGAGTAATATTCCATTGTATATATGAACCACATCTTCTTTATCCATTCATCTGTTGAAAGACATCTTGGATCCTTCCACAGTTTGACTATTGTGGACGTTGCTGCTATGAACATTGGGGTGCACGTGCCCCTTCTTTTCACTACATCTGTATCTTGGGGTAAATACCCAGTAGTGCAATTGCTGGGTCATAGGGTAGCTCTATTATTAATGTCTTGAGGAACCTCCATACTGTTTTCCAGAGTGGCTGCACCAGCTTGCATTCCCACCAACAGTGTAAGAGGGTTCCCCTTTCCACATCCTCACCAAGATTTGTCATTCCCTGTCTTATTAATTTTGGCCATTCTAATTGGTATAAGGTGATAGTTCAATGTGGTTTTGATTTGCACTTCCCTAATGGCAAGTGATGTGGAACATTTTTTCATGTGTCTGTTAGTCATTTGCATGTCTTTTTTGGAGAAGTGTCTGTTCATATCTTCTGCCCATTTCTTGACTGGATTATTTGGTTTTGGGTGTTGAGTTTGAGAAGTTTTTTATAGATCTTGGATATCAGCCCTTTATCTGTTATGTCATTTGCAAATATCTTCTCTCATTCCGTAGGTTGCTTTTAGTTTTGTTGACTGTTTCCTTTGCTGTGAAGAAGCTTTTTATCTTGATGAAGTCTCAATAGTTCATTTTGCTTTTGTTTCCCTTGCCTTTAGAGACAGAACTTACTTTTTTACTCAATCGCAATCACTATCTTATTCATTCTTCCTGATAAGTTTATTTCCCCAACCCCCTCGTTTCCCTCATCTGTATGCCCTGACCCACTCAATGAGACTTTCTGCCAATGCGACATGAGTAGAACTAATATGATCAGATGGTCACTGTCAGAAAAATATTAGCCATTCATAAAGCTACTGTTATATATTTCATGAGGAAATGTAGAGTGTTTTCTAAATGGTAAAGTACTATAAGTACAAATGTTATTTATTTATTTTTTTAGTTTTACTTATATATGCAGACTTATTGGAAACTACCTCAATTTTGTGAGGTTCACCACATTACGAATTTTAAAATAATTTGATCTTTCCCAAAGCATTATCTCTTTACCTAGATTGGTAAATGATATATGATTAAATAAAGTTTGTCTGTCTTTCTCTTCTATCATTCATTGCCATTTTGCATTTAACTGTACAATTATTATTTCATCAAATATGTATTGAGCACAGTATGCCAGATACCATAAAAGATTTGGGAATGAAAACACTATTAAGATAGGCTTTCTTGTGAGAAGTGTATGAGATGAATCTCAAAGGAAAAATAGTAGTTTATCTGGTAGAGAAAAGGAAGAAGGGAAGAGCAAACACAGCAGGCAGGGGGAACAGCATATGAGTATGGACTTGTTTCTGAAAGCTTATGTGAATTTTGAGTGACTAATGGAGTTGTTGACTTTGTCATTGTCTTAACCTGTGAGATGAGGTGACTGTTTAGACACGGATACAGATCCAGGTATATAGATATACAGATACAGATATGGCTACAGAGCTAGACACATACAGATTACACAGACTATACATAATGGGTCACATATACATCAAAACAAACTGCTGCCTATTTGTCACTGTTAGTAATTTGTTTTAGTGGGATTTTTTTCCAGGTCTTCATAATTTTAGTGTATAGTGTAGAACAAAATAGGTAATCAGAAGGAAGACATATGCCAGGCATCCTGTTTTTAGGACAAAACTCTACCTCTCATCTTGCTGGCCTGCAAAGTAAGTTTACGTAGTTAAACCCCTCCTAATCCCTCCAAACAAAACCAGTTTACTTATACAAAAGCCATCTCAGGCAGTGGCCATCCATCTCTAAAACTGCCCCAGGACACTGTCAGTTTTGTTCTGTGATCTTTGTCTCCTCCCTCAACTTTGACTAGTTCTGACTTTGACCCTGACCTTGAGTCTGTTTCACAGGTATGGGTAAGACACCCCATGCCCTGCTCTGGTGCAGCCCTGTGTAGGACCTGACTTGAGTTGGCTCGATCTGCACTTTCTCAGGTCTGAGTAATCATGGGAGGGGGCCAGAAAGGAAGGACGACTGGTGAAAATTATTGTACTGTATATTGTAGGGTCTGAAAATATAGAATTGGATTACATTCCAATTCCCCCACAGAATTAAATGAATAAAATGTGAGCAAAATGACATGGCTGTAAAAGAATTACATGTAGAGAAATAACACTGATTCAGAAGCTATTTCATATTCATTGATAGGACTTAATCGTTTGGTCACACCATTGTATAGATTTTATCAGTCTCATTTTACAAATGAAGAACGTGTAGCCCAGAGAAGATGAACAATTCGCACAAAATTATGAATTAGTAAGATTGAAAACTAAGATTTGAACTCAGCCCTTTAACCTAGAAGACTTATTCTTATCAGGGCATGAAGAAGAGCCAAAACCTGGTCCTCAGCTTATCAGTTTACATATTTAATTGAAGAAATAACTTGCCCAGTCACCGCCCCTTTGTTGCTTCATAGACTTTTCTACTCATAAATAAAGATATTAATAAAATTTACATTTATTATCTTTCAGTTCTTTCCATTGATTTGTTTGTTACACTTATTAATCATGTGCTCAAAATTAACCTTTTCAATTTAATTGCCTTGCTTTGTGGCCAAGAACAGTTGCCTTTTGAAATTTTATCAGCTATTCTGCTGTTTATTTTTTTAAAAAATCAGTAAAGTATATTGGTCAGGGAAGGTCTCCAATTAGTTGCTAACAACCAATTTGAAGAGTCAGTCAATATCTGAGCTTTTATTGAATCTTCAACAGGTTGTATTATAGATTGCAGCCCATTTTCATTATATGTTAAATCTATTAAGCTGTTCCTATTTATTCCCACTCAAAAGCAGCAGAGCAATATTTATTGCTATATTCAATATGGGTTGCTTAGTTAAGATTATGTAAACACTGTGAGTGTAAATGAACTACAAATAGCTGGTGAACCTTTATAGAGTATTGACTTACAGCCTCTTAATTCAATTTGAGGTCATGTAATGTTAATGACATAAAAGCCAGTCATCATTACCCG